TCACAATCCATACATCCATCCATTGTATCAAGCACATTTGTACATTTGTTGCCATCATCATTCTCAAAACATTTGCTTTCTACTTGAGCCCTTGGTATCAGCTCCTCGTTTTCCCCCCTCCCTCCCCACCCCTCACCCCTCCTAATGCTCTTTCTTATACACATATATGTGTCCGTGAATTTGTTTCTCTAATCTACCCGGACTAACATGGGTCTCAAGGACACAGCCCCTCTGCTCTGTCTTATTGTGGTTCCTTGACTCTGGTCCACAGTCTCCATGCTTAGGCCTGGATGTCTCTGGTCTTGGCCTCCACCGCTTTAGGCAGGGATCCGGAGGAGCTCTGCTAGTGGTTCTTCCATGATGTTCTGGAATTATCTCTGTTCCTGCCTCAGAGATGGCGCTCTTACACCCAGAAAATTAACAACACAAACAGACCAGTCCCCTCTTTTAGTGTTTCACACAGGATTTACAGCATTCCTACACAATCATTTGTTGGAAGTTAGAGGCATGGATAATCAAAAACCCAACTCACTCCCATTGAGTTGATGCCAACTCATAGCAAGCCCATAGGACAGGGTACAAGTGCATTCTGTGAGTTCCCGAGACTGTAAGTCTTCACAGGTGTAGAAAGCTCTGTCTTTCTCCGCTGGAGCAGCTCATGGTTTCGAACTGCTGGCCTTGAAGTTAGCAGCCCACTTTGTAACCACTAGAAGAGCCATAGGAAGGCATTCACACTTGGTCTCTTGTAGCTGCCTTTGCAAGTACCCCGTGGCTTAAAACAGCAGAAGACTGACAGGGCAGCCCCGAGAGTCACTTGAACATGCGGCGGTTGTGAGGGTGACACATTTTGTTGTGTTGCCCAGGAAGTCCAAAGAATTGTAGGCAGCTCCACGGCAACTAGGTCTCTCTCTCTAACACAGCAGTCGCTCCACCCGCGGGAATTTTCTTCCTTCATTAACCACACTTATTTCAAAGACGCCTGTTCCCATCTGCTGCGAACATCTTTGTTGATAAATGTGATGACTGCTCCCCAAAAGTGCCAGGACCAGCATCGTCAACACCCCGCGGTCTCTTGTCAAAATATTTAACATGCTTTCTCCATCAAGCCAGGAGTAAGAGACTCCAGGAAATAAGAAAGATTACACACGTGTCGTTGCAATATTTCAGAGAGGAGATTTCAGGTTGTGGAGAAGACAATGGTGAAGGCATCCAGTGGAGTTAGGGATCAGAGGCGTTTCTGCCCTGCCTGAGAGGTCAACAGTTGGGTGCATTTGTTCTACATGAGATCTCAAGTGTTTAATCACAAAATCTAGACAAGCAATGTAAAGCTATTCTAGATATCCCTGTGATGGTTATAATGAAATTCTTTGCAGAAGCCAGAGGGGAATGTTCTGAGAATCGTTTGTTGCCATAGGAGCGCCTGAAAATCATGAACTCCCAGAGTATGGGGTTTCTGAGAACTCCAATAAATAGCCCCCCAAGTCCCCACATAATATTTGAGTCAAGAAGACATAAAAATGAAGAAGTGCCCGATGATATTGTTATCTGGTGCTATTTAGTGGGTCCCCACTCATCATGACCCCATTGACAAGAGAAGGGACTGTTTCCTGGCTCTGCATGGTCCTCACAATAGTTTGAGCACATTGTTGCAGCCACCGTGTTCCTCTATCTCTTTGAAGGGCTTCCTCCTTTTTGCTGACGCTATCGTTTACCAAGTATGATGTCCTTCTCCAGGAACTGGGTCACACTAATAATATGTACATGAGGAAAAGCTTGCCGTTCTCACCTGTAAGGAACATTCTGATCGATGATCCCAAGGTTGGCAGGTCAGACAGCAGGCTGCTGGCTCACAGGACATGGATGCCGGCAAATCAAAGAGCTAGCATGCAATACTGCAGGTCGCTGGCTCAGGTCCCAAGACCCAGAGGTCATATACAAGATCCCGTGCAAGCCAAAAGAGCCAGAGAGCTTTGCCAAGACATCCCTATATATTTGACACAGGCCACATGCCCGAGAAGGAGTCTCGCTTTCCACCAGATCAAGGGCATTGCACTCCAGCCTAGTAACCCCTTACATCAGAACAAGGGTGCTCACATCAGACTCCATCACGGGGGATGTTTACATCATTACGTATCTGTCCAAGCAGAGAACCATGGCCCAACCATGGTGATGTACAACCTTAACCATCAGTCACACCCACCCTACTCTGGTGTGGCTCTATGAACATCACGAAAGACAGCCCTGTTTCAAAGCAGGGGCTCATACACAGGTATCGGGAGCCAGTGTGTTGGCTGGCCTTGGTACTTGGGGAGTTGTGGTTCCTGAGGAAATGAGGAGTCTCCCAAACAGTATTTGACACTGAGCTAGATGAGGATAGGGCCTGGTTTCTGCTTCAAGCAGCCTGTCTGTCTGGAGAAGAGCCCGCCATCCAGAATGAGACTGGGAAAGTGTCTGTGAGCATAGTCTCACGTGTGGTCTGAGATGGAGACTGCGCGCACTGGGCGCTCGCGTGCCGTTCACTAGCTCATGTGTCCCTGTCGAAGCTTCTAGATCCTCAAGAGGAGGTGGCTTATTGGCTTTGTCCTCAGAAGTATCTTGGCTTGAATTCTAGCTCTGAGACCCTGGTAACGTTCTCATCTCCTCCCCCAGAGTGGCAACGCAGCCGTGCTCAGAGAAGTCCTGCCTCAACAAACACCCCTACGTAGTGAGCT